CTCTGTTTACCCTGCATTCTCTGCCCATTGTACATGAAATTGATCTGAGAGGGGTTTTGTTTTTCTTCTTTTTCCTCCGATCTCCTTATTAGTTCAGCCTCAGAAAGTCCCTTATCACTGCCGGATGTCAGGCCACACTCTGCCACCAGACCTGGCCAGGTTCGACTCTCCATTAATTGATTTTGCCCTCCCCACTTGGGGAGCACAAATTGGCTCTGTCCATTAGCAGCAATAATTCCCTGAAAAGAATTAGAAATCATGCCCTGTGTCCATCCTTCACAGCGGCGTGTGCCCACGTGGGGAGGTGTCGGGCAGGGAGAGGGAGTGCTTGAGGGCCAGGGGAGGTGCCCACAGTCATGCAGGTTCTCCCCTAAACTGGAGCTAGGGTGGCCTCAGCCGACAGAAGGAGTGGCTGAAACAGGTCCCGGCACAGAGGGCTCAATGAGTGTGTGCTGAATGAGTACAGGGAGAGAGGAAGAGGGCTGCCTGTGTGGGGCACGGGGTCTTGCGGGCCTCTTGCCTTGACCCCCATCCACCAGTTCCACCATTACATTAACCACCCTTTGGCTCTGTGGCCTTGGGGTTTTCATAAGGACCCCCCATTAAACTGGAAGTGCTCCCAGGAAGGACTCCATCTAAATTCCAGTCAGGTCTCTGGGTGTTTGTGAAAAGTGAGCGTGAGAACAGGACACAGGGTGGGGGTGCAAGCAGAGGAAGGAGCATGAGAAGGGGAGAACGAACACCCAGGCAAGGGGAGGACAAGTTTGCCAGCACACAGGAGGTTCTCAGTAGGTAGGCTGCAAGTGAATGGAGTGTCTTGCCCCTGGTGGACCTGCCCAGGACATGAGGCTGCGGAAGGAGGCGGGGGGGCTCCAGTGAGGGCTGATCCAGCCCTCCCTCCAGCCCAACACATCAGACAGAATCCTGCCTCTGGCTCCCTGCACCCACCCCTTTCTCCCACACAGGTAGTCCACGCTCTTCCCCTTCATTTCCTTCCACCTTAGAACCACCATCATTACCTGTGGATGGTGTCCAGACCCGTCGAGGACACTCGGGCTACAGAGGTTGCTAAGACATGCCTGAGATCCCCCAGACGTCCACGGATGAACTTTCTAAATGATACATAAGAGAACTCTTCACATGTTGAGCTTCTCTAGGGCAATAAAATAGGATTTGATTATTACATGGTCTTAAAGTGTAGCTACAAGCCTAGCTTAAAGCCAGGCATTAGCAAGTCTGTAATGATAAGATGGTGGCCAACACCCCGTCGTCCCATCTCTCCAGATAAAGAAGAACCAGTCGCGGATGAGTCTTGTGAGTCTTGATGCTTCCTTCCTCCTCCACATCCCAGCCCAGTGCTGTCCGGGAAAGCTCTGGGTGTAGAAGAGCCTCGTACAGGACAGCTTGAGATCCCCAGGTGGCTTCGGGGAACCCCGAACCAGCAGGATCACAGGGAAGTCAGCTGCCAAGCCCAGGCCGGGCCCCACCCAAACCCCGGGAAGGATGAGGTGCTTTGGAAGATGCGGAGGACACCGCAGCCTGCCCTCGGCACTGGTTACAGCACTGGGATGTCCCCACGTGCAGCCTCCACATCCTGCCTGCACCTCAGCTCCCTGTGATTTCTTGTTCCAGTTTGGGCCTCAGAGCAGATTAAGAACCTATGACGCTCCCACTCTCCTGATCACCTCCATACTTGAAATGGTAAAATTCTCCCCCTGGCTTTTGCTTTCTACAATCTCTCTTCCCCCCGCCTTGTGCTGGACATGCAGGCCACTGTCTCTGCCTCCCCATAGCCCCTTCCAAGTGGCACCTGTCCGTGTGCAGGGACAGAGAAGCTGAAGGTGGTGCCCGATGCAAGGACAGCTAGACACCTGTGAAGTGGCCCGTGTGAAAAGGGGCCCTGGGACACTTGGTCTCACCACAGAGGACCCGAGGCAAGAAGGACCAAGAGAAAGAAGCAGAGGACCCAGCAGCTGATGCTGATGAGATGAGGGGGGCAGCCTGGAGCGGAATTCAGAGCGGAGGGATGAGTGGAGGGGCTGCCCCATGTGGAGAGGGGACGGAGCCTGTTAACGGTCAGGAGTGAAGACACAGGCTCGGTTGTTCCAGAAGGCTGGCGGCTCCTGGCTTCCGACCACAAATTGTTTCAATTATTTAAAATAATTGGAGTGTGTTCCTATTCCTTCCAACTCAAATAAGCCTTGAACAATGAAAACAACAGCAATGGCAAAAACTCGTATAGCCGTTGGGGAGTAACAGGATGCCTAACACTGGCTTGAAAGAACAGGGTTTATGTTTCTAACATTTTTTTTAAAGATTTTTTTTTATTTATTTATTTGAGAGAGAGAGAATGAGAGATAGAGAGCACGAGAGGGAAGAGGGTCAGAGGGAGAAGCAGACTCCCTGCTGAGCAGGGAGCCCGATGTGGGACTCAATCCCAGGACTCCAGGACCATGACCTGAGCCGAAGGCAGTCGTTCAACCAACTGAACCACCCAGGCGCCCCTGTTTGAAATCTAGAGATGGGCGTGTGCAGGAACTGGCTGAGCATCTTTGCAACACTCTGGACCGCTCCCTCGAGGGCACGAGGTGGCTCGGCAGGGCCCGTCCTCTGTGTGGGGAGCGGTGGGGCCGGCTGCAGCTGAGCCCTTTGTGGGAACAGAGCATCTTTACCCCACACTTCCACTGCAGGCTCCGCACACATCTAACTGGCCAGAACTGGGTCACATGGCCGCTCCAGCTGCAAGGGAGCCAAAGAAGTGGGTGCAAGGGACACTGTCAATCCTCTGATCCCCTCCCCATTTCTGTGCCCCTCTTCCCCTCTTTAATGTGTTTTTTGCTTCCAGTGCCTGGCCTGCCAATGACCTGGGACTCCACCAGACTGAACAGCCTACTGGAGCTGTTCTGCCTGCTGGTGTACAGAGCCAGAGACACCTCAACAACCGGCCAGTGTGGGATTATGAGAGCCCGGCTCTCTGCCTCCACCTGGGACTCCCAGGGTGTGCATTCCCCACCGGGGCTCTCCAGGAACCAGGTGGAGCTGGGACTACGGTCCCTCGCATGGCCCCGCCTGCCCCACATTCTTACGAGTCTTCCCCTAGTCCGCTGCTCATACACAAATCGTCCTCTCAGGGCTGCTCCCGAGGACCCCAAGTAAGAGCCCGGGGAGCAGGATAATCTTGACGGGTTAGAACAATCACGCTCCATTGCCTGGAGCTGACATGTACACAAGTAGGGCTCTCTTAGCCAGGAAGGAGGGAAAGGATGTGGGCAGGAGGCCCATGTTGTCCACTGCCCCAGCACATCACAGAAAACATGAGCAGGGAACTTGGACCCTCATACACTGTCGGTGCAAATGTAGGATGAAGGACTGAGACGCGTGCCATAGTGCGGATGACGCGTGCCATAGTGCGGATGACGCGTGCCATAGTGCGGATGAACCTTGAAAACATTACACCAAGAGGCCAGATGCAAAAGTCCACATACAGTCTGATGGCATTTCTACGAAATGTCCAGAGACAGAAAGCCGACTGATGGTCGCCAGAGGCTGAGGGGGCAGGTTGGGTGGATAGGGGGATGATAGCTAAATGGGGGTAGAGGATTGTGGAGATAGTTGCACGATTCTCATACTAAAAACCGTTCAATTGTATACTTTAAAACTGTGAAAGAAGGGCGCCTGGGTGGCTCAGTTGGTTAAGCATCTGCCTTTGGCTCGCATCATGATCCTGGGGTCCCAGGATTGAGTCCCACATTGGGCTGCCTGCTCAGTGGGGAGCCTGCTTCTTCCCCTCCATCTGCCCTTCTCCCCTGCTTGTGCTCTCTCTCTCTGGAATAAATAATAAAATCTTCTAAAAAATAAATAAATAAAAGTGTGAGTGATATGGTATGTGAATTATATCTCAATAAAGCTATTGCAAATACACACACAAGCCAAGAAGAGAGAGAGAGGAAAACACCCTAGATTCCACTCTCCCGAGTGAGCCACTGCGAACATCTCAGGCCAGGATATACTTTTAGCCTCTTTTTTTTCACACATACGTCTCGCCAATACAGTATCCTCTGAAGGGAACCTGCTAAAGGATTTCAAGCACAGAAAACTATCAGCAAAAGCTATGAAACAAATGTGTCCGGTTAGGAGCATCAACCCTTGTACCGCTCCTGATCGAGACTATTATGTATCTATTTGCTTTGCCCTGATTTGTCACCCAGTTTACTTAACCTCAGGGTCCCCCAATAGGCAGGTCAATCCTCCCAGCCCCATTCTGTAGCCAGGGCAACGGGGCACAAGGCATATTCACACCCATCCTGATTTATTTTTTTATAAGATTTTATTTATTTATTTATTTTAGAGAGCGAGCGAGAGAGAGACAGCATGAGTGGGGAGGGGCAGAGGGGGAGGGAGGGACAGAATCTCAAACAGACTCCACGCTGAGTGGGGAGCCCGACTCAGAGCTCCATCCCAGGACCCTGAGATCATGACCTGAGCTGAAACCAAGAGTCAGATGCTCAACTGGTTGCACCACCCAGGCACCAGCCCCATCCTGCTTTCTTCCCAGCTTGGGGGTCTGAAGCATCAAGGTTGAAAAACTGGGGGCTGTGGAGGACAGCCCTTCAGGCCTGGGCAGAACGAGGGGGAAGTATCTGGTTTGGTCCAGAAACACCCATCCAACCTAGAGGCAGAGGACAAGACAAGATGACCTCCAGAGGACCCCATAGGTCTCTTTGAGGGTTCCATGCCACTGACCTGTGCTCTCCATGGTGAAGGAAAAAAAAAAAAAGGCTGGTTAGGGCTGGTTGAGGGGCAGGCCTGTTTGCACCGGAGGCACTTAGTGCAGCCAAGCTGAGCTGCACTGTTCAAACAGACTCCACGGCCTCTGCACACCCGCTCCGAGGAGGGCGAGGAGGGCGAGGCGGGCAGGAGGCTGGGCGCGGGCCCCTGGGCGCTTCCCACCTCTCCTCCCATAGGCAGCCCAACGGCCCCGGCAGAGCCCTGGCCACGCCATGCCCCAAGCCAGGCTCTGCGGCTGCTGGGGCGGCCGGGTGCTGCCCCTGCTGCTGGCCCATGTCTGCTACCTGCTGCTTGGGGCCACGGTCTTCCAGCTGCTGGAGAAACAGGCGGAGGCTCAGTCCAGAGACCAGGTTCAGTTTGAGAAGCTGCGCTTCCTGGAGAACTACACCTGCCTGGACCAGCGGGCCCTGGAGCAGTTTGTGCAGGTGAGGGGAGAGGCCGGCAGGGGACGGCGGGCAGAATGCGGGTTCTCACGGCAGGTCCGCAGCTACCACCCAGGGGCTGATGCAGCGCGTGGCGCAAACGGAGCCGGCTGAGCCCTAGTGCTGCATGCTGCGCAACAGGGAGCAAGTCGCTTCCACTCCCTGCTCCTGAATGTCATCCAAAACGTGAGGAGAATACTCTCCTATGTGCTGCAGGCATTTACAACACATCAAAAGCCCTTTTCTAAGGTGCCACTTGGTGCATAAATGTGAGCTGTGTGTCGGTGTTATCAACACTGTGCAAATTTCCTTCTCCCACGCTCTGCCCTTCCCCTAACGCCAGCTCCAGGGCTGCTAATCCTTCTGCCCTCTCCCCGCTCACACTCCTGTGCTGACCACACTTGAGGGCTGGGGGGGCAGGAGACACAAAGAAAGATCAGGAGCAGCCGCCATGCTGGCCTTCCCTGGCCCAGTGAGTGGTGGCCAGGGTGACAGTTCCACCAGCAAGGTGTCCGTAGGGGGATCTCTCTGGTGGCAGAGTGGGTTCCCCCACCACCACCACCTAGGCCCCTTCTGCTCCCCTGCACAAACTCTGGGCCCAGCACCCTCTCTCCAAGAAGCAAGGCAAAAACAACCGAAGGTGTTGTGAATGCCTTTGAGACCAGGGGGCCCGGTGAATGACAACACCCACCACAAAGGAACAAGCCGAGTGCAGAGTCGTCACAGAGATGAATGGCCCATAGTGAGCATTTACAGTGTGCCTAAAACAGTGGGGAACAGGGTCATCGTGATGGGTCAGACCAGTCATGATCCATCCCCTGGCGCCAAGCATTTTGTGTATGTTTCCTCATAACAACCTATTACCATCACTGTCTCCAGCTGGCAGATGGAAACTGAGGCACAGAGGGGTGCAGTGTTGGCAAGACTGCACGGTGAGTGATAGAGAAGGAACTCACCCCTAGGCCAGCAGCTCTTCACCAGACAAATTAGCCTAAGTGCGGGGTTGGAGGACAGGCGGGATAAGGTTCTCCAAGTGTGAACAAGATGCAAGAGCGTCACCTGGGAGTCCTTTAGGAAGGCCAGTGATGGCACCCCACCCCCAACGCTGAGAATCAGCAGCTCTGGGGGCAGGACCGGCAGCCTGTCGTTAACAAGCCCTCCAGGCCATGCCCGTACCCTCAAGATGGAGACGAGCTGACACAGAAGATGATGGGTGGGCTGGGTGGCCAGAGGGAAATTTCCAGAGATGTGAGAGCCCCGTCCAGACCCTTTCTCCCAGGAAATGAGACTTCCTTGTTCTCCGGGGGCCCTATGGGGCTGAGAAGGGCTCTGGAGTCTCCCAAGACCTCAGGGGATGACGCAGAAGCCCTGGAGGCCGTGACACCTCCTCCTCCCTCAGCCTAGGATTAGAGGGGAAACCCAGGAGCTGGAAGGTTCGGGAAGGGTTGGAAGCTGATCTAACTAGTTCTGTAAACAGAGGCGGGGACAACAGTCTTGACTACAGCCCCAGCCACTGATTAACGGCACCCCTGTTGTTGATTAGGACACCCCTATCCTCAGCCTCCTTGGGAGGGAGCCTCAGTTGCCAGGGGATGCCTGGCTGACATTAAGAACGCTGGTCTAGGATTCCAGAACACACGTTACTGGTAAAATCACAGGAGAAAAAAACTATCAGCAGCACCAGAAGCAGTATGAGAAATAAGAAGAGGCCTTGCCCAGTTTCAGAGGACTCATGTCTGACTTTCTCTACCACGTGTGGATTCTTAGAGAAAACTGGAAGGTCGCATTGGGCGCCCCCCCCCCCCAACTCAGTACCCTTGCCGAATCAAGGCCCCTTCCTCAGCAGATTGGAGAGCTTCGGGTTGGCCGTGGGAGACAGCTGGGCCTAGGGCAAGTGCTGCTCCCAAGGGTGAGGGTCTCCAGGGAGCGAGCGTGTTCCAGAATGTTCCGTCCTGGCCTCCCTGGGTGTGTGGGAAAGAGAGGGAGACCAAAGTCCACATGTGACGAGACCAGTTCTGCCAAAGTGAAGAAAAGCAGACAGCCTGTGTCACGACTCCCAGACTGGCCCAGCCTACGAGGGCCACCCCACCCCGGCAGGGAGCACACTCAAGCTGCCAGTAGGGAAACGGTTCCCACGGGAACTAGAGGCCGGGTGGCCCTTTCCCCCACTGCCTCCTGTTTGGGGGGCTCTATCACGTGGCAAGGCTGGGCTGCCGCCTGGGACAATGCACGGTGACAGGGGAGGGGACTGGGGAGCAGACGGGAGAGGGACCCCTAACCAGCTCCAGGACGGCTGGGCTTAGGGACAGAGGGGCTTCGGCTTGAGCCCACAAGTGTTCAGCTTGTGTAAACACACACTCAACACACATGCACATACATGCAACATAGAGAACCCATGCACATCGCGGGTATACAACACACCACGCAGAAACACTGCTACACACCCGACCTTTGCCCTGACCTCTGATGGAATTTCTCTTATAGGTAGGCCCAGGCTGGGCGTCACTAGGGGACAGCAAAGAGCAAAGCCACCTGCTCACCTGGAAGTTCAGAGAACACAGGGTTCTCTTGGTCTCCCCCATCCACCTTGTGGGAGGGCAGCCCCATGGCTTCCCTGTGGTCCCCAAACACCCGTTCCCTAGTAAGCTCTCCTGGGAGCATCCGACCTGAAATCTTCCCATTGTCCTCACAACACACCTACGCCTCACCCTCTTGGCCATGGGCAGCATCTCCCACCTGGCTCACCCCGTAAGCACCCTCTGCCTCCTCAAACCTATTTCCCCTCCCCCAGCCCATGTTTACAGCCCACACCTCAGGCAGCCCTGGCCTGTGGAGCAAGCCGTGGATTTGGAATCCAATGACCTTGGGCAAGTTAGTTAGCTACTCAGATGGAGCCGGGGTTTCCTTTTCTACACAATGGAAACAAGAGCCCCTAAGGATATCATTAAATGAGATAACAGGAAAGCACCCTGCAGAGAGCTTGGCCACCAGCTGGTGCCTCAACTGCCTCTTCCTCCTACCCCATGCCACCCCCCCAACTCCCACACAGGTCATCATGGAAGCCTGGGTGAAGGGTGTGAACCCCAAAGGCAACTCCACCAACCCCAGCAACTGGGACTTCGGCAGCAGTTTCTTCTTTGCAGGCACGGTTGTCACCACCATAGGTAAAGGGTCGGGGTGGGGAAGGGCTTCCCCAAAGCCCCTGTCTTGGTTTGGGTTCCCCAGAGCAGATGCTGAGACCAGGATGTGGTTTGTCTCAGAGATGATGCTAGGAAGCATGAGTAGAGAGGTGGGGAGATAGAGCAGGAGGGGAGAAAAGACAGCAAAGTTTGCATTGACGAGCAGGGTCCCAGTGAGGGCCACTGGCCTTGCTCCCACCGGGACCCTCTGAGAGGCCAGGTGGAACCCAGCCTCAGAACAGTGCCTGTGCGGGGCGAGGAAGCGGGCTATTTATCTACCAGTTCCTGCCCTTGCTGGTTGAGAGCTGATCCCGGATGTGTTAACTCTCCAGTATTTGAAACTTGCCCACAGACCAAGTACACTCTCAGGTAGAGATGCAGGGACTTGGGGTGGAGAGCCACCTGTGTGGGCAAGAACTGTCCCCCGAGCTGCAGGTGGTGCCCCAGGTGTTCTGAGGGGACAGGACACCCAACAGCATCTGCTACACCCCCTCAACTAGAAAACCCACACCACCTCCCCCAAGGAAACCCCAGACCCCCCATATCCAAGGTCTCCCCATCCGTTCAATTAAGTTTGATTCCACACACCTTCCTTGAGCTCAGGGGACAACTGAAGCAGAGGAAGTGAGGAGTTAAGAGGGTACAAACTTGGATCAGACCCAGGCTCAGCCCTCAAGGAGCTTCTGATCCAATGAAGAGGAATGGGACAAGCACACAGAAAACAATAGCACAAGGCAAAGTAGGTAATTAGACAAGAATGACACAAAGCACGAGGGAGAACCACTCCTGGTAGGGAGGAAGAGGGTGGCAGTCAAGAGGGCTTCCTAGAGGCAGTGTCCCTGGAGATGGGCCTTTCAAAGATAAGCAGAAGTCTTACAAATAGAGATCATTCTAGCGGGGGGTGGGGGGAGCGGGGAGAATGTTCTTGGAAACAGAGGAGCTTCCCCTCCATCCCCAGAGGTAGTGGAAGACCACCTTCTGCTAGAGCCTGTCCGGGAGGCAGTTCTGAATGCTCTCTTCTCCATGTTTGCACACTCCTCCCCCCTGCAGGATACGGTAACCTGGCGCCCAGCACAGAGGCAGGCCAGGTCTTCTGTGTCTTCTACGCCCTGGTGGGCATCCCGCTCAACGTGGTCTTCCTCAATCACCTGGGCGCAGGGCTGCATGGCCACCTGGCTACCCTGGAGAGGTGGGAAGAGCAGCCCAGGCGCTCCCAGGTAGGGTCCCTCCCCACTTCCAGCCCCTTCCAGCCCCTTCCAGCCCTGCCTTGATGGGATCCACTGCAGGGTGAAAATGGAAGTTGACACCAAGATGCAGTTTGGCAGGCAGGGTCTTAGGGGTAGATGCTTGTGGAAGAAAGGGCTGTGCCGAGGAAGAGGTTGAATTGTGATCAGGCTGGAACAAAGACTTGGACAGGCCCTCACAGAGTTCTGCATTGTGTGTGGCCGGTGGAGTTGGCCCCACAGGGGGCTAAATTGGCCAGTGCTTTATTGGTGTCCATCAGGCACAGGGTGGCCTTCCTGGGAAGGGTGTGCCCTTGGGCCAGGCAGTCATCTGTAGCCAAGGGTCACCTCCAAGGAGCTGAGAGCTGGAGGCCACTGGCTGACAGCTGGTCAACAAGGTCTTCTTTGAAGGGGGATCAGGGCGGCACATCCCTGTGGTCATCACAGAGCTCTAGCACCTCCTCTTGTGGTTAAAAATAAACTCCAGGCCACCCGGCACACCCCCAGTGCCCACCCGCTTGGCCAGCACCCTGCAAAGCCAGGCACACGAAGGAGGACCGAGGTGCAGAGCAATCCGGGACAGTTCAGTGGCTGTCCTCCATCCCAGATCTGAGTCCCCCGAGGGCCTATCCAAGTGTGATCCCCAGGCCGAGAGGAGTCTCCAGATTCCAGCCTGACCCACTAACAAAATCCTTCTGACTAAATATTCCCTGGCCTGGGCAAGAGCGCACACACAGAATACAACCCCCACCCCAAAGGTCTGGAGGGCTAGGAAGAGACATAGCTATGGCCCAGCCCCACTCCCAGATTTGTCCCTCCCCAGTCCTGGAGCCCTCCAAGTAGGCTCAGAGACAGACTCTCTCACTCCCAGCTGCTGCAGATCCTGGGCCTGGCTCTGTTCCTGACCCTGGGGACGCTGGTCATTCTCATCTTCCCGCCCATGGTCTTCAGCCATGTGGAGGGCTGGAGCTTTGGGGAAGGCTTCTACTTCGCCTTCATCACTCTCAGCACCATCGGCTTCGGGGACTATGTTGTTGGTGAGAACAAGGCAGTCACATAGCTCAGGGTGGGGGCCACGGGGATTTGGGGAATGGGGAGATGTCAGCAGGAGGTACCTTTTGAGGATCAGATAGGTTATCCAGGGGAGACCAACCGTTTGTGAGGCTGCTGAGGATTCTAACATCCTTAGACATCTGTGGCCTGGGACCCATGGCCCTTTCCCCCGGGGACCTCCACTGCAGATCTTTGTTACGGGGAGGCTGGTGGGGACCCCTGTGGAACCTGGGGCGACAGGGGCTGTGCCCTCGGATCCTTGGCATGTATCATGTCTCCTTCCCTGCCAGGCACAGACCCCAGCAAGCATTACATCTCGGTGTACAGAAGCCTGGCTGCCATCTGGATCCTCCTGGGCCTGGCGTGGCTGGCGCTGATCCTCCCCCTAGGCCCTCTGCTTCTGCACAGGTGCTCCCAGCTCTGGCTGCTCAGCAGGGGACTCAGCCTCAAGGACCGGGGAGCCCCCGGGATGGATGGGCTCCCCAGACCTCAGAAGATCCCCATCTCTGCGTGAGGTCACCAGTGGCCCCAGGAGCCCCTCCTGCTGCCCCTACCCCTGTATGCCCTCTGGACTTCCTCTTCTGTGTCCTTTCCCACTCCCTTCCCAGCCAGGGCTGCTCTCAGGAGCTCTCCAGAGAGCAAAGGAGATGGAATGCCCAAGCAGGTCACTGCAAGGAGGTGTAGGACAAGACGAAAGACAGACATGTGTGGAGTGAGATGCTCATCGTTGTCCCAAAGCCCCTCCCCCAAATGTGGCCTGGCAAAGTTGAATCCAGACATGGATCACTCTGGTCAAATCCCCATGATGTCCTACTGCATCCCCCCAGCCCCACCCAGGAGACTTTATTCAGTACAGCAGACAAAGGGTGAGTTTATTTTCACCTCACTTGATATATGCACAATGTGCATTTGTCAGGCCCCCACTCTGTGTCTGGCAGAGTTCCAGGCTCTGGGGGCAAATAGTGAAAGATCCTGCTCTCCCTGTGCATTTCATCCGATGGAAGGACTAGACAAGCAGCGAGGCCCTGAGCCAGTACCCCCAATGGGGTAGAGCGGGTTTGACAAGAGCCCATAGGAGGGACTGGCAAGGAGCGTCAAGGAGAGAGGCTGGGCAGGGACTTTGGAGCATCTTCGTGCAAACAGGATAGCTGCCCTCAGGAAGGTGGCAGCTACCTCTCAGAGCCCACCAGCTCCCCTTACCTAGAGGCCTGGAGCTGTCCGTCAACAAGGCGGGGCTCTTGGCTGTCCCACCAACCTTCCGGAATGTGGCCTCCCCCTGACTCCTCAGGGCCCCCTTGACCTCATCAACCCTTCTGAGCGTCTGTCTTAAGAGTCTTACTAAACACACCCTGGGAAAACGGGGAGCCAGCAGATCCCAGGAGATCCCTCAGGAAATGAGCTCCATGGAGGCCTGGCCTCCTTTGGGAACGCGCTCTGCAGCCCTGGCCTTTCTCCTGCCGGACTCTGACATCTCGGGCCAGAAGGAGAGGAGAGTTTGAGGCCAGTCCATCCAAAGCCCAACCTCAGCAAGGACTCCAAACCTCTGCCCCCACGTCTGCCATCAAGGCAGGCCCATAAGTGGCCGGGGGCTCTGCACAGGACTGAGGCAAGGCTGTGAAGAAGAAGCGGCTCCAGATGGGACACACAGGGAAGGATCTACAGCAACAAGAGTGACCCAGGTTACACCACAGGACTTCCTGGTATGAAGAAGAGGCCTGGGAAACGGAAGAGTCCCAGGGGACTCCTCATATACCGTGGACCCTTCCCGCAGGAAGGGAGTTAGGGGGCCTCTTCAGAAGCAGGGAATGAACAAACCCACTGGTCAAGGATCCTCTTGCCTCCCAAGTTCATAGACAAGAGGTGATCAGCTGGGGTCCTTCACCTTTGGGTACACAACGGAAAGGGGGTTGTTGCAAGAGATCCAGGGAGGACTTGACAGGTGGCAAGTCTTGGTGATAGTCCCAAGATCCAAGAACTTAGGCTGGGGCCCTAAGGCAATAAACATACCTTCTACTTTCTCTTTCTCTTGTGGAGTTTCCAGGAGTCCCTCCCACTGCTCCCTACAGTAGGACACCCTGGGAAGTTGTCCTTCCTTCTGAGGCCTGTGGTCACCCCGCAGCCCTCCCCTTCTCCCTGAGCTAGGCCTGGGGGGTGAGCACGCCACACACCCTCAAGGCGGGGCCAGATGCCCACAGCTCCGGCCTCATTTTGTCCCTGGGATTGGATCCCGGTGCGGGGGTGGGGCTGGGCTGTCCCATTCCCCAGCAAGCCTCCTCTGCTGAGAAAACTGGCCACAGGCAGGCGTTGGCTGGGGAGGGGACCAGCAGAGCTCCTAGCCCTTTCTTTCCGACTCAGTCCTGGCCCATGGCTCCAGGCCCAGGGCTCCCTGCCTCTCTGGCTCTGTGCAGACTCCGAGCCCGGGCGGCGCCCGACCACAGGGTCCCTGCGTGCGCGGTGCCGGGCACCCTGCTCCTGCTGCTCGCCTACCTGGTTTACCTGGCGCTGGGCACCGGCGTGTTCTGGGTGCTGGAGAGGCCCGCGGCGCGCGATTCCAGCGCGAGGTTCCAGCGCGACAAGTGGGCGCTGCTGCAGAACTTCACGTGCCTGGACGGCCCGGCGCTGGACTCTCTGATCCGGGTCAGGGACGAGCGGGGCGGGCGAGCGGGGGGCACGGCGGGGGCGAGGGGGCACGCCCTGGCTGCGGCCCTGGCCCCGCCGGCAGCACTCAGGGGACAGAGAGGCGGAGGGGTTCGACGCGGGCCGCCTGGGGCGGGCGGGGGCCGGAGGGTCGGGCTGGAGCGCGGCGGGACGGGTGGCTGAGGCGGGAGGGAAGCGGGCGCGGCGCTCAGTCAGTGCCCGGGTAGGGCGGATGGGGACGACAGGGGGCGCGCCGACCCGGGTCCGGGGCTGGAGGGGCGGGCCGGGTGCGTCCGCAGCTGGGCGGGACGCTCGCACGGCGGGGGAGGTGGCGGGGCAAGGGTCCCACCCGGCCCGCGCGCCACTGTGTCGGAGTCGCACCGCGGGCCAAGGACGGAAGGGCGCGCCTGAGCCCTTGCACAGAGTGCAAACATGCGACCGGGGGGGGGGGGGGGCGGGAGGGGGACGGGGGGCGATGGGCAGTGTCTGAGGATGCGCTGAGTGGGAGTCTTGGGGGTAGGAAAGGGTACAGGGCGCGCTTGTCCCAGCGGGTGAGTGGGATGGGGCCGGGAGCTCGAAGAGCACAGACCCGCTCTGAGAGAAGCGGGGGGGCAGTCACAGGGGCGCTCTTCGGCTGGCCCCGCTCTACTCCGGGTCTTCAGACTCAGGGGCTGGACGCGTCCGGGAGATCCAGAGGTCCCGGAGCACAGAAACTGCTCAGGGAGTGGGGGACGCAGCGGGGCGTGGGGGAGAGGAGAGGCAGGGGAGGGTTCTTGGGGAAGGGGGGGATCGCAGATGGATGGAGGTCTCCTTTCACTCCGGTCAGGACACACCCGACCGGGACCCGCCCAGAATTGGCAGACGCTTTAACGTCCCGGGACCTCCCTTGGTCCGGGGAACCAGACAGCTGTGTCCCTAGCCCCAAATGCCGGACCCGCAGTCCTGGCGCCGCCTCCATCGAGGAGGGCAGGGCCTGAGTCGCAGAGCGGCCATTCCGAAGCCAGTCCCCAGAAGGTAGCAGGGAAACATTTCTGGGTGGGAAGTGACCCTGCACTGGAACAGTGGTAGGGTCCTGAGCCCTCGGACTGGGCCGACTGGGCAGCGGGAGGACTCTGTCAGCTAAGGACCTCACGTCGCTCCTCCACCCCCGCCCCCACCTCTACACTTTCACTAATATAGCTGCACTGCCTCCTCCTGGAGGCTGCGCCTACCCCCTTTGCAGAAGTGCTGAACCTCCCTTACCTGCAGCATCGGCCCAGGGAGGATGACAGTGATGGCCATGATAGCAGAGACTGCTTCTGTGGAGCCCTCGCTGTGTGTCAGCCATTGTTCCCGGGAGGGTTAACTTGCATTTACTCATTTCATCCTCACCTACATCGCATTTCCGAGATGAGGAACCTGAGGCTCAAAGAGGTTAAGTACAAGTACCTGGCTGCATAGCCAGGGAGCTGGGCCTGTTAACCACCAAGATGGCGCTCAGTACGGATCTCTGGGGGGGGTGTTCCCCAAAGTTCCCACAGGGCTTTCATCTCCTTAGCTTCCCCTCTAACCCCCTCTGCTCCGCCCACACCTCACCCCTTCCTCAACCATCCAGTGGCTCCCACACTTCACCCCTTCCTCAACCATCCAGTGGCTTCCACACCTCACCCCTTCCTCAACCATCCAGTGGCTTCCACCATCCCCAAGATAAGGATCTGGTGTCTCCTAAGCCCAGATCTCCCCTATGTATGAGTACATACAGGTACATTCAACGTCCTCAGATTCCCCCAAGGTCAAGAGCAAGCAGCCCTCCTCCTCCCAGCCCTGCACCTCCACCTACTCCAAATCTCTGTCATCGGCCCCACATCCACGCACTCCCACAGTGGTCTTAGAGGCTTCCCTCACGACCCACACCAAATAGGGCCAACAGCCTAGGCTTTTGAGTATCTCCTCTTGGTTCCTCCTGGACCACTCAGCCTGGATGCAGGCTACTCGCCCCTGCAAGGCTCTCTCCCCTTCTGGTCTGCTCACACCTCTGTTGCCAGCTGCCAGGGAACACACAAACGGGATCTTGCCTCGGTGACCTTGGGAGAGGCTTGCTGCTCCATCCCTGGCGTGACAGAGCCAAACATGACCTGGCTCCCAACTGCCTTTCAGTCTCCCTGTACTAAATCCCAGGCACAGTCCTGCCCCGCAGGACTCCCTAAATCTCCCTAAATGTCCTTCCACCAGGAGCAGTCCCTTTCAACTCTCAAAGAAGTCCCAGCTAAAACATCACCCGCTCCATGAAGCCTTCTGCCCCTACCCCCAGCAGAATGAACACCTTTCCTCTTTGCATTCCTACTATTATATTTGTAACCATGAGGATGATGGCAACCACTCACACTTACCACATCCTATGTACCGTTCTCAGTCTACACCGAATACCACATTTAACCCACACAACTCTGTGAAGTAGGTACTCTTAGTGTTCCCATTTTACAGATAAGGGAACCGAGGCGTGGAGAAGTTGGGTATCTTGTCCAGGGTCATGCAGCTCTACCACCTTAATGCCCAAAGCTGCACTGGCTGCGCTGTATGAGTTAAGTCTGTCTCTGTCCCGCTGAGGACTGAGGTCCTGTCTCTTACATCTCTGGGTCTCCTAAAACACCACGTGTCCTGCCTGGCAGTGCTCGTTGCAAGGATGGGAGTGAGCAGGGGAGGGGGTGGAATGGTGTTCTTCCAGCTGGTGAGACACCCTGAGCTGACCTGGGGTCTACGGTAAAGAAGGGAAGGCGCTGTCCCCATGGTCCTTGCCCCTGAGGAGGCCCTGGGTGGAGGGATAGAACCTCCTTACCCTGGAAGGGCTGAGATTGAGGAGTGCTTGTGAGGACTGTCCATGGATATGTGTGTGTGTGCGTTTGTACGCACACACATGAGCATGTATTCATGCACACGTGTGTATGTGTTTGGGTGCAGGGGCCCAGTTGCCCCACAGAGCCTGGTGGTCACTGCAGCCTCTCCCCCAGGGCATCATCCAAGCATACCAAAGTGGGGACATTGTCCTTGGCAACACCACCAGCATGGGACGCTGGGAGTTCATGGGCTCCTTCTTCTTTTCCGTGTCGACCGTCACCACCATTGGTAAGAGTGGGTGGGACTGGGGAGGCTGGTCTCCCCCTAGAGGATGGGGCACAGGGAGTGTCCAGAGCCAAGCCTACCCAACACTGAGCCCAGGGGTGGAGATGGGGGGCAAGGGAAAATTAGGCAGGAGGGAGGGACCGAAATCTAAAAAGAGCCTTTCCAGCTCCTCTTCTCAGCACTGGGGAAAGGTGGCCATTCCTGGAGGCCTCTCCCCAGCTCACTGTGGCACCCGTCACCCTCCTCACCATCTTCTCCAAGCCCACTTCCTCCCTCACACACAGGGACCCCTGGAGCCAGATCTCAATCCCGTCTCCCTAGCCCTACCTTCAGGAGAGCAAAGGTAGAACTTGTCTTGGGAAGGTGCCTGGGGGCTGCTGGAAAGGGAAGGAGAAGAGCAGCCTAGGTCCCTCCAGCTCTGAAACCCAAGAAACAACTCAAGTCCAGAACCCCATCCCCCTGCCCTTGGGGTTTCCCCGCCCTGCATGACACCGGACTTAACACCAGGTGGCAGGCTGACACCACTGCTGGCCAGGGCCACCTCCACCAGCTCTGGGCCCGCCAGGATCCTCTCCCCAGGAACCAGGGTCCCAGCCTCCGTCCTCGCCAGAGTGGAGCCAGGCAGGAGCACCCAGAGGCCTCTCCATCTAGTTTTAAAGCAGCAAATACTTCTTGGAAACGGGTCTCAGGGCTACGCAGGAGCTTGGGCAGCCCTCCTCCTTGAGGCAAGCATGCTTGGGGGAGGCCCCTCAGACTCCACGGACCCTGTGACCCTGGAAGGACTAGCCAGGATGGTATTTATTCCTCTTTACACCCACTGGGCCTAGTACAAAGCCCCGCATACAGTGGACACTCAACAGACACTGACACGTTAATGAATTCCAAAAACACCCGTTCCACCTACACTCACTGAGTCCCAGGGCAGAAGGGGATGTTGAGGCGCAGTCACTGCAGGGAGGCCTCCCTGTTGTGTGGGGGGCCTTTAGTCTCTAAACCCCGCACCTCCTACACCCTTTGCCCCAGGCCCTGGACTTTGGCCCTCTGAATTCTGACTTTGGTAACCTGTCCCTTCCTCTTTACGAGGCCTGAGGCAGCTCTCTCTGAAGGGAAGAAGGGCAGAGGAAGGGGGAGCCCACCCCACCCTGCACACATGATCTACTTGTACTAGGCACTGTGAGGGGCTCTTTTACAATTGAGATTTCAATTGAGGGGCTCTTTTACAATTGAGATTTGTCCATATGGCCTCATATCCAAGGATAGGGCTTATTATTTTCATGTCACAGAGGGGGAAACTGAGGCACACAGAAGTTACACAATTTCCCCAAGGTCACATAAACAGCAGAGTTGGAATTTGAAACCGAGCTAGGGGACAGTATTGCCCTTGAATGTAAACCTTTAGGAGGCTTACAAGATAGAGTGGGAATTCTAAACAACAGGAAGAAAGAGGGCCATTCTGGGGTGGACAATAGGGAAGTTCATGTCCCTGTGATTCTGACCACACACACATGCACGAGCATGCAGAGGGGATGCAGAGAGGGGAGGAGGAGGGCAGAGACAGGAAATGGGGTACCTATGGAACACTCCGCAAGGAAAGGAATGAATAATCTGAGAGACACAGCAAAGGACTGCTTCCTTGGCGTCCCTGGGGCCCTGGGTCCAGCACCCAGTAAGGGCTGTACTTTCCAAGACCCAAGATGAAATAGGGTCTGACAGGCCCTCGAACACTTCTAGACCAGCCAGACAGGCCTGAACGCCACTTTGTCCATTGCTATGAACTCCATCCTTGGCTTGCTCATTCATTCACTTATCCAGCCATGCATTCATTCAACAAATAGCCTTAGTAGATGTGGGAGTCTGAGAGTTCTGGGGAAACAATGGTGAGCAGAAAATGACAAATCCCTGCCCTTGGCGGGGGGTGTGGGGAAGCTGACATTCTAGTGCATGAGGACACCCAACAAACAAACAGATACATAGACAATATTCAGGGGGTGGGAGGTGTTTCGAGAAAAATAATGCCAGGTAAGGGGCTCTGATAGTCAATGGGGCTATTGCATATCGAAGGCCTTGTTGATACGGTAACCTTGAAGCAGAGACATGAACAGAGGGCGCCTGGGTGGCTCAGTTGGTTAAGAGACATGAACAGAATGAGGGAGAAAACCATGTAAATATCTGGGGAAGCAAGTGCAAAGGCCCTGAGGTAGGAGTGTGGCTGCTGGGCTTGGGCAACAGGAAGGACAAGGTGACTGGAAAGGTTGGAAATGAGGGCTGACTTTGGAGGAGGTACAGGGCAGCCACACAAGGCCTTCCTGGTGGGGCTCTCTCAGGATGTCCTGGGGCTGGACTAGCAACAGAAAAGAGGTGACAGGTGGGAGGCCTGCTGAAGTGAGAGGTGGCTTAGATGGAGCATGGGGTTCTAAAGCAAGGGGGCTGCTGATGTCCTCGGACCAGAAGCTGGTCCAGTGGAGTTGGGTCATTCATCCATTCATTCACGAAGCAAACATTCCTTTAGCACCTTCAGTATACTAGATACTTGAGGGGACACGTTCCCATCTATGACACATCCCCACTGCCTCCTTTTGTCCTGTGGCACACTGTGAGGTAGATGTATACCCATCTTACAGACAAGGACATAGAAGCTCAGAAAGGTCAAACCATTCACCCAAGGCCCCACAGCCTTCAAGGGGCAGAGCTGGGATTCAAACGCAGGAAGCACCTCTGATTCCAAAGTCCATGCTCTAGATGAGTGCATGCTTTGGCCACTCTTGGTACTATGCCCTGAGAGCCCCCAATAAGGTGAGAGTGAGGTAAACCACCAATACAAGTGAGCATGGGGTATGTAGGAGTGCTGACCCAGTCTGCCCCCCAAGGGGTGCAAGATGCAGGGCATCTGTTCATCTATTGACTCATTCATTCCTGTATTTCTCATTCATTCATTCATTCATTCATTCATTCTTAAAACTCATTCAACACACGCTTGGTGAGCGTCTATGAGGTGTCAGACCCTGTACCAGTTGCTGAGAATATAAAGCTGATTATGACTCAGTCCATGCTCTTGAGGGGCTCTTGAGAATAGCAGACTTGGAAACAAATCATTCCCATACAGTGGGTTCCCCTCAAAGCTGGCAGAGGGCTGGGGGAGCCATGGCACTGGGGCTGCCGTTTCTATGCTCTTGGTAGAAGGAGAGTCATGCTCAAAACACAGAGGCAGGAAGGGGCTGGGGGCTCAGCAAGACAGGAGTGTGGCTGGAACTGAGAAAGTGGGGGACCAGATGAGCTTGGAGATGGGCTGGGTGAGACTTTGGGCTTTCCTCAGCAGACTCGAGGAATCCTGGGAAACGATATAATCAGGCTTGCATCTGACTCAAGGCAAGATAGCGGTGCTGACCAAGAAGTCGGGGGACAGAGATGGAGAGGAATGACAGAGGAAAGAATGCCCAGGCTGATGGAATCCTTCGAGGAACACCTGGTCCCCCGAGCCTCCCCATCCCTTATCTTCATAACAGGAAGATAGCCAACCTCCACCTCCCCCAGGGCACCTGATGGTCCAACCACCGCCCCTCACTCCCAAGAGGTTTGCCGGGGAGCCCAGGTGCATTAGTGAGGGCCCTCTGGAAATCAGGTTTCAAGACAGAATCAGATGTGTAAGAGATGCATCGGGGGAGGGGAAGGAGGTCTTTCAAGGATGAAAAAGGAGCCCGAGAGATGTTTGGAGGCCCAAACGAGACTGACTGCATGGGCCTGGGGGCGGTGCCCAGAGACAGGAGCCTGGAGGCAACAGGGCCCTGGCTGGAATGGTGTCTGTCCCAGAGGTGCAGCATCTGGAGGCTCCACACCCTTCCGTGCCCCTCTCCACGTCCTTCTGTCCATCCACAGAGGAGGAAACGAAGGGAGAATGGAGTCTCACACTTGGTGGGTTTGCGCTCACACACACTGCTGAGCCTCCCGGAGCTTCCGTTTTCCAGTCCGTAAAACGTGGGGCGTAATCCCCACTTGGACAGCCGGTTGTGAGGTGGGACTGAGGGAGTGAAGGCACAGTCCTGGAGCGGGAACCAAAGGCCTCTGTAAATACCAGCTGCCGAGTCTGGAGGGGGTGAGGAGTGGTGGCCCCTGGGGATGGAAAGGTCCCCTGATGTGCCTCCCTCTTGCCTCAGGCTACGGCAACCTGAGCCCCCGAACGATGGCCGCCCGCCTCTTCTGCATCTTCTTTGCTCTTGTGGGGATCCCGCTGAACCTCGTGGTGCTCAACCGACTGGGGCATCTCATGCAGCGGGGGATGCACCGCTGTGCCCGCAGGCTGGGGGGTGCCTGGCAGGTGAAGGGGCTGTGGGAGTAAGGGGAGGGGTGGGTTACTGCTAGGATGAGCCAGGTAGTGGGAATCGGGGGCCCAGAGGAGCAGGGGTTACTTCTGGAAAGCAGGGTGCCTGGTAGGGATGTGGCGGGATTGGAGGCCACTGCCCAGAATGGGGGTCTTTAGTAATAAAGGGGCATCAGTGGGGGAGACGCTGTGGCACCTGGGGGTCTGGAAGGGAACAAGCCAGCCAAGGTTTTGCCCAAGAACCTGGAGAACACAGACTACGTAGAGGGGCCCCAAGGGCAGCCCCTTCCTCCTGGCAGGGAGCATTCGCCTTGCCTCCAGCCCAGGAACCTCCCTCCCCCGCCGGGCTGTCTGGTCCCCCAGCACTGGGTAGAGGCCACACAGGGCTCTGTGTGCACCCACAGGACCCGACCAAGGCTCGGTGGCTGGCGGGTGCCGGTGCCCTCCTCTCGGGCCTCCTGCTTTTCCTGCTGCTTCCCCCCCTGCTCTTCTGCCACATGGAGGGCTGGAGCTACGTGGAGAGCTTCTACTTCGCCTTCATCACCCTCAGCACCGTGGGCTTCGGCGACTATGTGATTGGTGAGAGAGCCCTGCAGGCGGTGGGAGAGCGGCCTGGACACTCAGCTGCCCGGCCTGCATTCCCTCCACTCGCCCGCTCCGTCTGCTGGCACCTGCTACGTGCCAGGCCCCGTGGGGGTTTGCAGGCCCAAAGTCCAAAGGACACGGTCCTTGGCAAGTTCAACCTGCTTTGTTGTGTGATGGGGCCAAGGTCCGGCTAAAAAGTGACACCTGGAGTTTGACCCCAGGGCTTGGGGCTGGCTGTAAGTCACACTCCTGGCCCTCTTGACAAGCACTGGAAATGTCTGAGACTCAACTATTGTTATGAGCACTCACCAAGTTAGGGGAGTCCCTAACCTCCTTCCCTGATCCTTCCTTGTTCCAGGGTCTCTCCTCCCCACTTCACCCTGCCCCATGAAATGCCAAGCTTCCCACTCTCCCTGGGCCGAGGGCCATTTGTTCCACATGGCTGCAGGGACTAGGCAGGAGAGTCTGCATTGGAAAACAATTGGCAGACAAACTTTGAGCGCCAGCAAGGAAGGGCTGTGTGGTGCAGAAGGCCCAAGGTGAGGTTAGATCAGCGGTCACCACCCAGTGTGGGCAAGGCGAGGGGCCCAGAAACCTCTAGGCCTTGCATAATAACGATGAGGCAGGTGCCCAGCAGGTGGCGGTAGAGGGACATTCTGTGGGGCTTCAGGGGTGGCTGGGCCCTCCACCCAGCCTCATCACTCCCCTTTGCTGCCCTCCCCTGAAGGTTCACCACAAGAGCAGTGGCCACTGGTACCACCAGCACAGTGGTCTCAAGGGGCTCTGCACCCTCCCTCAGATCCCTGGCCCTCAATTAGGGAGGAGGCCCTGTCCGTCTTCACATCCTTAGAGACAGAGCCCTGCCTGGAATATTGAAATGAGGTCTTGCCAAAGTAACAAGCAGTTAGCTCATCAAGCAACCTAGGGTGGCAGTTTTTGCCCATTTTACTAAGGAGGAAGCTGAAGCTCAAAGAGGCCAAGCCATTTGCCTGAGATTGTACAGCTAGCTCGAATTCTGATCTGTTGACTCCCAAGCTCATACTCTTTCCAGACCACCTCACGCATCCCCTCTCTGGGCCTCAGTGTTCCTGTATATAAAATGGGGGCCTGGGCTAGGTGATGGCCTTCTCACCTGTGTGCAGAGCCCCCTTCCCTGAACCTCTCCTTTCTTGGGAAGAAGGGTCCTGTGTCAGGGGCCTCGTGCTGTCCCTTCCTGATGTCCTCCATCCTGGGAGGAAGCCTGTTGCTCTGGAAGGAAATCTTTGAGGTTTCCTCCAAATGGGTATGCTCCCACTCCTACACTCAAAATGGAGAGATGTGTCTAAAGGAGAGCTGAGCCCAGTGGCTCCAAGGGCCACATGTAGCCCCCTCACAGCGCAGAGAGTGGTTCTTGTATCTGTCCCCTCCTCTCTGTTCTCACTGTCATCTCTTTAGTCCAGGCAGAGATGTTGTACATGGCTGGTTACACAGATCGGGCACTGAACAACCCTAAGGGGCTGCAATTCACACAGAGCACAATGGAATGGCACCCATGGATTTGTGCAGCCTGTATCTTTGTCCTCCCTTGGCTCTTAAGACCTTTAAAAATGACAGGTGCTATCATGTCACCTGCCCAGCTCCTCTGAAAACCTTCAGTGTTTTCCCATAGTCTTAGGACAGAGTCCAAAATCCATGACTAGGCCTGCAAGGGCCTCTGTGTGGCTGAGTCCTGCCTCCCTCTCTACTCTGAGCTCTCCCTCTTCCACCCGGCACCTGGGCCACCAGGAGCTCAGCCGGAAGAGCCTCAGCCCAGGCCTGCGAGATGTGATGGGTCCTGCCACAGCCTCCTGCACCACACACAGAACCCTTGAATGCCTCATCTGCAAGCAGAAACTGAGGCCCAGAGAGGGGAAAGAGGTTGACTAAGGTCCTAGAGCAGGCAAGCCAAGAGCAGGTCGAAGACAGACTCCCAAGCCAGGATACCTATGTTGCAGAATCTTCCACAGCTGAGCAGGGACAAACCCTACTCCCGCCTCTTTCTCATGTCTCTTGACCTTCTCTGTCCTCCAAGGACAAGGTCAAACCCTTTCCTTGGATGGGAATGCTGAGGTCCACAACCTGGACTCGGGATGCCCATTGTCCCTGTATCAGCAACCACAGGGGTGCTGTCTTCATGGCCACTCCTCTTTCCCCGAAGGCCGTGGCCAAGAGCAGCACCCCGGTCCCAGCCGTCTGTGCCCCCCGCCCAGCCTCATAGCCCCACGTCCCCCAATTGCATTTGCAACTCATTGGAGCGCCTTGCCAGCTGCCAGATCTCCTGCCACTTACGATTTTGGCTAGAACAATGAAATCAAATGGGAGAAGGACACTTCCTCCCCCTCGGTTGCCAGGAGCAAGCCGAACTGGTGGGTGGCAGGGGCAGAAAGCTGGCTCACCGCTGATCTCATTTGGGACCGCCAGCGGAATCTTGGCCCCATAACCCAATCAGCTTAATCCAATCCTGGCTCCTGCCAGGTGGTGAGGTGGGGTCAAGGGCTGCAGGCTCACTCCCCAGCTGTGGCCCAGGAGAGGTGCCCAGGCTTCAGTGACTGCGAAGAGAGGTTGTCTTGGGGCCGGCAGGGCAGGATGGGAGTGGACAGAGTTGTGGGTGGGACGGGACCTGAAAACAGAGAATGATGCTGAGGAAATAAGAAGACAGATCTCAGCCTTTGAACAAACCCGATCTGATGAGGGAGGCAAGATAGACCCCTAGGAAAGAGGGAAAAATTAAATTATGGAGCAGGCTAAGCCTCGCAATGACCTCCATCTGTCCCTTCCCTCTGCCCTTACTTATCCAGTCCTGACTATGTTGGGAGCACCCTTGTGGGGGTCTAACGATGAGGAAAACAATCACCCAACTCCAGGTCTTGGGCACCTGTAATGTAGCAGGCACCACTCTGAAAACCTTAGATATTTGAAGCCAGTCCTAGGAGGTGGACCTCTTGTTGTCTCTGTTTTATAGATGAGGAAGTCAAGGCCCAGAGAGAATAAGTAGCTTAGCCGGCAGAGTACATGGGCTGGGAGAGAGTGTAACAGAGGGGTTCGGCCTCATCTCTGGGAGTGAAGACTAGCTGAGATCTATCTGCAGGATGAGGGGAAGTTAACTAGGCCAAGAGGAATTGGAAATGAAGAGCATTCTGAGCTGGGAGGACAGCAAATACAAAGGCAGGGCTGATGATGGATGGAGGAAGTGGGGAAAGCCCAGAGTGACAAGCACAGCACTCAGTGGGAAAAGGTGTGCAAATCAAGGCTGGAGGAGTAGATAAGGACCTTGGGAGAAGAGTTTATGATTTCATCCCAAAAGCCAGGGCCTTGAAAAATAATCATGTTCCCCATTTCACAGGGGAGGGGCATTCAGACAGATGACGGTCACACAGCTAGGAAGAACCAAGGCAGGATACAAACTCCAGTGGTCCCCTCTGTGCTTCCTAAAGCTCCTGGCAAGTTACCTCTGTTTAGATATGAGGAAACCAAACACAGAGACAGGCCAACAGCAGAGAAGGCATTAGAATCTCTTGGAAGGTTTATTAAAATACAGATTGCTGGGCCTACCCCCAGAGTTTGCATTTGGTAGGTCTGGAGTGGGGCCCGACCATTTACATTTCTAGCAAACTCTCAGGTGATGCTGATGCTGCTGGTCCAGGGACCCCACTTTGAGAACCACTGGGATAGAGCACAGAATCTGTCAGAAAGCCAAAGAGGAAATTTAGCTTCCAAACCCAAGGTGTCAACCCAAGGAGGCTTCCTAGAGTCCTACAGAGGTGGCCACAAGGCCAGCAGTCTCCAACCAATTTGAACTTCCCATATTCTGCTTATATGCATCAAGTCATGTGTGTCTGTTTCTGTTTGGGAATGTGGCCTTGACCTTCCCAGGCCTCCATCCTCTGACCTTGCCTCTCCCCCCAGGGATGGACCCCTCCCGGAGGTACCCGCTGTGGTACAAGAATACAGTGTCCCTATGGATCCTCTTTGGGATGGCGTGGCTGGCCCTGATCATCAAACTCATCCTCTCCCTGCTGGAGATGCCAGGGAGGTCGTATTCCTGCTACCACCACAGCTCCAAAGAGATCTTCAAGTCCCAAAGCTGGAGGCAGAGCCCAGATGGGGAGGCAGAACCCCATTCACCACAGCCAGGCTGCCATCTGGAGGAGCCTATGGGAATCATGCAGCATCCAGAACCCTCTACTCAGGTCTCATGCTGTGGAAAGGACATTTAGTTCTATTCCAGTATGTGTTCCATCTTCTTCCTCAGCAACAAGACCCCTAGCTTTAAGCTTAGCCCATGACCACTCAGACTAAAGACTACGTTTTTTATTAATCTCCTCTTGAGACTATTTGAAGTTATATGATTAAATTCTGCCCAATAGAATCCACAGAGAAGTATCCTGTGTGACTTATGAATGTGACTTTTCATGGCGGGGCAGGGGAGGGGGGAGCTGCTCCTCTTCACCACTTCCTTTTTCTAGCTGGCTGCAATGCTGATATCATGGCTGGAGCCCTGGCAACCACGTGGCACCATGAGGTAGAGGCCGTGTTTGAGATTGGTGACACAGTAAGATAGAAGGAGCCCGGGTTCCTGATGGTGGCAGAGCTACCATAACAAACGTAGACTGAATACCTCCAGACTTCATTTATGTGAGAGAGAAATAAATGTCAGTCATATTGACTACAGGGTTGTTTGGGCTTTTCTGTCACTCACAACCACAGCTAATTCTTACTGACATACACACCCAGAGACAAAGGCAGCATCTGAAACTGAAACATACACAGCGAGAATCCACTCCCTTCCCAGGTGAGTTTGCCCAGGACTCCCTGGTGAAAGGGATGGGTTGAAGGCTGAAGTACAAGTCCTCCTCCACCTCCAGAGACCTTCTAGGTAAACTCACTAAAGATTTGCTGATCATTGTCAGGGCTGATACAGCCAGCAGGCAGCTGGTCCCAGTTTGACCACTGAATTCTTGCCCGAGGGCTTCCTCACACCAGGGGAAAACCAGGGGCAGGCCAGTGGGCTCCTCCTGCCTCACCCCGCCCCACTGCATTTGAAGACTTTGATTTCACAGTTTGCGAGGCCAGGTAGGCTTTATAGACGTCACTTCAGTATGTAGATAGAGTTTTTCCCCTAAGCCTTTCTGTCTCTTGCTTAGGGTTGCTACTAAGGTGGCACACTCCCTATCACACTGAGTTCCCCGGGCCCAGCCAGGAGCCCCTGGCTGTACCACCCACACCTGAGGGTCACTGGGGAAGCTGGGTTCGCGGCCGTGGTGGATATCTACGACTCAGCTCCCCTCCACTGTACTGCACGTGGTGGCACAGGGACCTGAGGGGCTCCATGTGGCCTCTCCCTGTGGACAAACACCTTGGCCTCAGAGCCCTCCTGAAATTGGGTCAGGGGCAGCCTTTTGGCCAAAAACGAAGAAAGGGTTGTTACACCATCCAGCTGACGCCATCTGGCCTGGCCCGAAGTGGACCAAGGCCAGCCCCAGGAGTAAACACCAGCGAGTAAACACCAGGGTCCATGCCCTCTTCCTAAGGCCCACAGGCTGGCAGAGGAAAACGGAGGTGAGGATGAGATTGCTGGAGGTCTGGAACTGGCGTCCTTGTACTTGACACACTCCACAGAGAAGACCCATAACTCAAAACTGGGAGAGACAGAGGCCAGTGCTAGGTTGGTTTCCATGGTCCCAACTCTGCCCCGCCTTGAGCCCCTGTCTCCCCATGCCTGGCCTCTTAGACAGAGTCCCTCTCGCCCCCATCAAGCTCTTTACCCCACGCACACCCAGACCCATGCTCACGATGCCTGCCCTTGCCCAGGGGAACACAAGCCCGTGGTACCCACGGTTGGGCAGAGGCAGGCTCCTGATTGGCCAGTTACCTGCAGATGTCTGCCCCTCAGCCAATGAGAGGAGTCGCTGGAGCCCTGAGGCGCAAATCCACCCAGAAAGTGAGAGGGGTGGTGGGGTGGGAATGGAGATGAAGAGTGAGCTGTGTGGGGTGCGAGGAGAAGCCTCAAGAAACCATGCTGGGAGCCACCGGGAAAGGTCTGGGTCTGGGAAAGGCGCAAGAACAGTCAGACCTTGGCACAGAAACCCCAGACTAGAAGGGGCAGTGAGGTCTTGCAGTAGCAGATGAGAGGGAGGGGAGGGAGGTGTGCTTCTGGTGTCATAGGGCAGCCTGAGAAAGCTGTCCCGCCGCGTGTGGACAAGCAACCAGTTCACTCATTCCCTCGCACCACCTTGAAGCGGAGGGAAAGCGGGCCCCTCGGAGCCATAGAGCCCGGCTGCTCAGGGTGCGGAGCTCGGAGTCAGCCTACCTCGCTCACCGTTCGGTGACCGGTGCAAATCACTTCACATCTTGCATCGGCTTCTTCTTCTTCTAGGAAGGGAGATAAGAGCCGGCTGTGTCCCAGGATTCAATGTGTGTGTAAAGTAGCAGCAGGGTGTGCGTCATCCCCGAGGAGGCGTGATGTGCATCTCAGCTTCTGGCGTCCCACAGCGGCCCGGGGACCAGGCAGGAGGCAGGGCTGGGCGGGCTGGTGGCTACGTGGCAGGCAGCGCCTCTGCTGACCCCTCTTGGGGCTCGGGGCTGGCCAGGCAGGCTCCAGGGAGCAAGCACTGATGCAGGACTCAGCCCTGCCCTGGGGGGCTTCCAGGCTGACACCATCACGCTGCTGGCCAGGATGAGGGGGTCTGGACACGTGTGAGTCATAGAGGATCCTCCTGTCAGAGACAGGGAAGTGCATGCCGATCGTGCAAATGCAGGGCCGGGGGACCGGCCACTGCTGCTCCCACAAACCAGAGGGGCAGGTGGACCCCACACCCCAGTGGCTGCTGTGCCTCCCCCCACCCCCGGGACAGGCTGTCCAGTTCTGTGGCCTCAGCACAGCCAGGGCAAGATCAGACTCACTGTCACATGGTGGTTCCCTTTAAACCAGCGACATTCGTCATCACCACATCATCATCCTGGTCATCATCATGATTTCCTAACATTTATGGGGTGCTTATTATGTGCCAGGCACTGTTTGTTGTAAGCTCTTTGCTTGTACTGAGTTATTCTCCCATCTACTCCGAGAAAGGGGCTGTTCTTTTTAATGCAGTTTTAAGACAGGGAAAATTTTCACTGGATGCCAAGCAAAGACAGCCGCCCGTCCTGTGGGTGAGCAGGAAAGAGGTAAGGGCCTGGCGTGGGGGCAGGGAGACTCTCCCTTTAAGCCCTGTGTAATCTTGACAAACCATTCCCCTTTCTGTGCCTCAGTTTACTCCTCTGTAAAAGATGAGGCTGGCTTCAGGGACTCTCTGTCTTACTGGCTCTATTCCCTCTGGAATTTTGTCTGGATTGTTCTAGTGACCACGTTTCAGGGAGGGCAGTTCCTGGCCCCACCCTTCTCCTGGGCTGTCTTAAGCATTTCGGTCCAAGGAAGTCTCACTCTGTCTTTGTCTGTCTCTCTCCCTCTCTCTCTCCCTCCCTCCCTCATACACACACACACAAAGTTCCCCAGGTCCTTCCCTCATGGCCCCTCCAACACTGGCAGCCTGGCTGTGGGAGGGATGTCCATTCATTTTAGGAACTGGGCCAGAGAAGGCTTGACTCAGTAGCAGCCAGAGGACCCCCATAGTCTGGGCAACAACTGTCTGAGACTCTCCCCATCCCCCGTTCCCTCTACCCTTACCTCACCGGCTCCCCACCCCTGGGCTCCAGGCCCAGAGAGCAATGGCCTGAAGTTGACCCTCTGACAGTCCCCCTGTGCCCTCCCTAAACCACCCACACTACTGGTCGCTGGGCCTCCCACTCTGTTGGCCCTCCCAGCCCACACCGCAGACACTCTCACTGCTGGGCCCTGGCCCCACGGACCCTCTCTCCTTCTCCCCTCTGTGCTGTGCCCTGTTAGGTCCTAACCCTCTTGCCCTTTGCTAACCAAACCTCATCTCCAGTTAAAATTGTTCCTTGGGGTTAAGGAGGCAGCAATCCCTCTCCCCCCAGGCTTCCTCAGCCCATCCCTAGGGTCTTTGCCCAAGATTCCTAGCCCACCCCCCACTCCAGTCACAACACCCTTCCCAATTCCCATGGCAGCCTTGGCAAGGCCTCGAGGCAGGAAGGGCAACCAGAGCTGGACGCTTCCCACCCCAGACAGGGCTTTTGTGGGGAGCCAGGGACACTACCCCTGCCGCACCAGCATATTCTCCAGAAGTGTGAAAGCAAAACCATTCAGACTCACTCCCATCAGCCCCTGAGCCCCCTGCCCCTGCCTGGTTCTGGGGTTGGGATCCTGCTCAGCCTTTGACCGCATTCTATCCTTTCCACATCTTTTCAGACCAACTTTTATCTCACTTCCTCTTCCCTGGATTCAGGAGGACGTGAATCTATATCCCGACTCTATCAATTACTTGCTTGCTGTGCAACATTTGAGAAGTCACATAATATCTCTGAGCCTAAAATGGAAATGCTGATACCATCCTCAGGAATGTTTGGATGAATGTGGGGGAGTGAGTAATGAATGAGAAAGCACCCAAGTTGGATCCGCTACATCGTAGGGCTCAGAAATATTTGCTCCCCTCCCTTTCTCTTCCTCCTGGCCTGAAGCTCTCCCTGGCCCCACCCTCTCTCATCAGGCAACTCATGGAGCCCTTCTGCACCCCTTTTCTGTGTCTCTAAGGTTTGCACTGAGGAGTTGTTTGTTGTTTGAGCTAGATGCTGGGGATAATAAGAGAACTAATGAGCGAGGCCAGCCCCTGCACTCAGGGCTCAGCTAGTCAGATGGGGGAGTCTGGTGCTCCAAGTCTGACAAGGAGTTTCCTGTGGGGAACACGGTCTGTCCCTTCTTCCCTGACTTCCTTTGAGAAGACCTCCTAGACCCTCCCAGCCTTTGGCCTCCAGTGGACTTGGGAGGGGCAGGAAGTGAGGCAGGGATGGAGGGAATACATTTGCCAAAGCTCTGGGAGGCAACAGGAGACCGCCTGTAAAGTGAGAGGGTTCCTGTGTGTATTGGAGGAGTGGCCCACTGGCTGACCTCTTGGGTCGGGTCGCTTCCCTGGGGTGTGGGTGTGTGCCTGCAGCAGCACTCCTTGATAATCTGTCTTGGCTCCTTCTCCCCATCCACTCTCAGACTTTCTCTGAACCCCTGAACCTCCCCGGTGGGGGACAGGGTCTGACCCCCATGGGCTGAGTCACCCAGGCTCCTTTGGTCTTTGGCTTCTGACTTGCAGAGGCCTAAGAGTGCAAGTGGTGGGAGGAGAGGAGGGGAGAGCAGTCAGGGTGTTTGCCCCCTCTCCCAGCAGGCCCTGGTTTGGGCAATGCTGTGCTCCTTCCCCAAGGGCACAGCGCCTGTCTGGCTGGCGCCTTTCCCAAGGTAGCAACACTGACTGGGTTCTAGTGAGAGCGCCCCCCTCTCCGCCCCTTCAGGACCAGGGACCGTAATGACTCCCCACGGTCTCTGGTCC